ATTGATGACGTCAAGTAGGGGACAGCCGACACCACGAAAAGACTTCTGTAAGAGCTGCGCGATAGGATCATCCAGGCCACAGGACGTCGTCGGGTTCATCGTAGACATAGCTGCAACCAGCTCATCGCATGACACAGGACGCACCCTAAATGAGCAGGTCATAACTCGGGGGAGCCTGACTGGCAAAGCCGTGCCTCGGTTCGGCACGCTGGCGGCACTCGTAGACCCTACCTTTTTTCGTGACAACCCTCTTCAGGCGCGTATGTAAAGAGGGAGGGAAGGAGAAAGGGTGGGCCGTCAATGACCGATTTCCATCGAGGTTGTAAGCGATTCTCCTCGTGTTGCTGCACGACAAAATGGGCTACAGATGAAAACAGATGGGCTGCAGATGAAATTGGCTCCCCCATGACCCACATACGCACCAAGGTCGGCACCAAACACCCGGTTCCTGTCCCGATTTTTGAAAACTTCCCGCGCTGACCGCCGCACGCGGCCGCATGGAGACGAAGCTCAGCAGACCTGCGGGCCGGCAGACTTATTCAGCAGACCTGCGGACCTGTACACCTGACTAGCAGACCTGTGGACCTGTACACCTGACTAGCAGACCTGTGGACCTGTACACCTGACTAGCAGACCTGTGGACCTGTACACCTGACTAGCAGACCTGTGGACCTGTAGACCTGGCCAGCAGACCAGCGAACCTGCAGATCCAACCAGCAGACCTGCGGACCTGTACACCTGACTAGCAGACCTGTGGACCTGCAGATCTGGCCAGCAGGCCAGCGGACTGCAGATCTGTCCGGCAAACCAGCGGACCTGCAGGCATGACCAGCAGACATGCAGGCCTGCAGTCCCGAACAGCAGACCTGCATACCTGCATACCTGACTAGGAGGCCTGCGGGCCTCCAGAACCGACCAGCAGACCTGCGGACCTACTGACCTGACCAGCAGACCTGCGGACCTGCAAATCTGACCAGCAGACCTGCGGACCTGCAGACCCAACCAGCAGACCTTCATATGACAAATGAATAGTGCCTCCTTGAGCAGACATTTTGTACGCCAGTTTGTCAGGGAATGCTGTCATAAGCTGCAGTCGCGGTCTGGTTGCATACATGCAAAGATGACGCGCTCCTTTTTATTTAGGTTTTAGGGGCCACTGTCTCTGACATCAGCCACCATCGATGCCATCATCCGTTAAGGTGGGTTGGCAATGCAGGCACACTTTGGCTGGTTTGATCAGAATCGGTATTCAAAAGTCATATTTCGCAAACCCTGTTAGATCCATGGGCTTGCAAACTGTCTAGGTAGTTTGCGTTCTACTGGATTTTTAAAATTTCCTGTAATATTCAGCACTGACCAACTTAGAGCTCCCCTACACATCCATGCATATGCGTTTTAGTCACCTTCCGATCCTCATGGCGGTGTAAACGGCTGTGCTCTTACTGGACCCGCCGCCCAGGCGTATAGTTTCTCGTTGAGTCGGGGGAAGTGGGTAGGGGGGGGGGGGACTCCCACCACCCCAGCTTTCAGAGGAAAATGCCAGGAGAAACCTGTTTAGTGTATTTTAGGTGTACGTTCGACCATTTTTACCTGTTTTCCTGCCGTTTCCCTTTCTAGAACAGACAAGGTCTTTGATGTGCCTGGAAGACTTGATAGCGAGCGAGGCGCACATTGCAATGCAAAGCTTGCTGCACACATGCCATTGGCTAACTGACGGGGTTGTAGAATTAAGACAATAATCAGACGGACAGCTGGTACATAGGATACAACAGTCCGCTCAGATATCGGGAAATTCTGCTCAGTTGAAATAATAAGGAAAGAGGGTTCATTACTTTTTTGTGGCGGGGGGGGGGGGGAGCACCCGGTATAGCGCACAGAAGTGAAACGTGGTCATTAAATACACCAGCAAGGTAGGATAACACAGCCGGAGGATAGTTTCCTTCACTGATGTCAGCTAGCGCTTAAGGGTTTTGCGCATCAGAAGACTACAGTTCTCATGGCTATAGACTATAATCCCAAATATGTCGGCACTGGCCACACTGTCGGGATAGACTATAGTAGCGCACATGTCTACATTAACCGCAATTCCGGAAATTATTTGCCACGGTGCTCACAATGAGCGTATTGATTTCGTTGACACCCGTGATTTTGTTGAGGACGAGAGCTTTGTTACGACACAAGACTGACAAGAACTTTGTGACGAGACCGACCTTGCTCCGTTGTACACAACTACATAACGCTGCCCTCTGATGTCGTTCTTCATCAGCTGTCTTCCACTGCCGTCTGCTGTCAGATTCGCCCAAAGTCTCTTCATGCGTCAGGTATATGGCGAACGCACAGACCACTTGACGGGCGCGCGCGCGCGTGCGTTTCGGCTGACATGAACCGTTACAGCGGGGATGGATCTCCGGTGGGCTGTGCCACACGTCAGTTACTCTGACCCGAGTCCCCGCCGCCAGCGCGGAAGACGACCACCGCTGGTTGGATCCCGTTTAAAACGGCACCACTGCTATGACCTCAGATGCGTAACTTACAGGCGTCTGTATGAGCACGCCTTGTGGTCGACGCTGGCCAGGACTGCCAGCGAGGACTGTTGGCGTCGATCAAACACCTGCAAACATGCACCACTCAGATACTTCACGCCGAATCGTTGTTTCGCGTGGAGGACGCGACTGCCGCGTGCAGTAGCAGAGAAAACAGCGACCTGGGAGAGCACCGCCCCTCATGAAAAACGAGTAATTAGCATTCACGCAGCTTGCGTGTCCGCACATCACGTGCTGGATGAGGATGACGCCAGATGAAGTATCTCCGCCCCCTCCCTCTCATCAAATTTATGACGGGTATTAATAAGCGTTGGGGGCGCTTCCACGGAGCTGCTTCAGGCAATGCCCAACCAAATTTAACCCATTAATGACGAGTGGCAGATGCAGTTGCCGAGTCAATAAATTCAATACAGAGCACCCCTGTGGTGTCGGAGAGCGACGAATGGTTGGCAGCTCCCGAGGGGAGGAGTTTGGCGACATGTTCGGACAGGTTGTGTCACGTCTTGAACAGCCCGGGCTTCACAGATCCAGAACTTGCCAGTCGCCTCACGGGCGCCGTCCGAGACGGCTCTGCCACGTGTCAAGTTATAGAATTGTCAATAGCACATCAACGTCTGAATTTCTATCATGAACTGATCATAAATGAGTCCAAAATTGTGAGTGGCAGCTTAAGTTGCCACTCGGCAGATGAGATGACAGAAGAGCCAGACGAAGACGATGTTGGAGCTGACGACAGTTGCCTGGTGGTCCTTCAGCCTCCAGCTGAACTTTCAGACGCGGAAACTGACCAGGACTCAGAGGCCGGTGATGGCGAAGCGACTTCGGACCCCAACCACGTACCCCGAAGACATCTCGCAGCCGAGGCTGAACTGGCAGGACCACAACATGAAGCTGTCGAGTGCGGAACGCCTAAAGAAGTTGTTGCATACCCAGCAGCTCATCAACGGCCAGGGCCGTCAAACAACAGAGCCGAGGATGCACCAAGACCTGCAAAACGCCCAAAATCACTTCCGAGAAAGTGAACAACCAGCACTTACCGACTAGGCCAAACTGTGCCACAGTTCCAGGGCACCGTGACTCCCACGCAAGAGGACGCCCTGAAAAACACAATCGAAACCCCGTCCCAGTGCTTCGAACTCTTCGTAACCGAGGAACTCGTTAATCACCTTGCGGAACAGAGCAGAATTTATGCGACTCAAAAGGGCCTGGGCACCTCCGTCATCACTGCCTCCAACATCAGGGCTGTTCTGGCAATGATGGTGCTCTCTGGGTACTGCAGTGTTCCAAACAGGAGACTGTACTGGCGCCGCGATGGCGACGTCTTCAACTCCCGGGTCGCGCAGGGTATGAGACGGGATACACTCGAACATCTCCTTCGTGTGGTTCACCTTGCGAGCTCTCCATCGACGAGTGTATGGTCCCCTACTACGGACATCATCCCACCAAACAATTCATAAGGGGCAAGCCCGTGAGGTTCGGCTTCAAGCTGCGGAGCATTTGCACAGCAGACGGCTTCCTGCTCCATGCAGAATCGTACTGTGACTCAGCGACGCAGCTGCAGAGCACGGGCTGTGGCCAAGGAGCTGATGTCGTCTTGGGACTCATTGAAAAGTGTGGGCTACGTGCAGGTCACCATGTGACATTCGACAACTTCTTCTCCTCCCTGCCTCTGCTGGAACATCTCTCAGCTGCACGCTTCGGTGGAACAGGTACGACCCGAGAGAACCGCGTGCCCAAGGACGCCTTCTTGATCTCAAGCGCTGTGATGAATAAGGAGACGGGGTCACTGTCGTCAATATGCACTGAGGACACCTCACTGCTGCGCTGGAAAGACAGCAAGGCTGTGAGAATGGCTAGTAATGGGTATGGTGTTGAGTCAATCCAGAAGACGTCACGGTAGGAGCAAGGAAGAGAAGAAGAAGGTGATGGTAGTTACGCCTGCTTCTGGGACTATCTACAACCGAACGATGTGCGGAGCTGACCTCCATGACCAGTTCGTGGCCAACTACAGAGTTCGGATCCGCTCAAAGAAGTGGTGGTGGCCTGTCTTCACCTGGCATGTAAGCTCGGCGGCAGTAAACGCGTGACTTATGCACATGAAGCTGGGTCATGACGTGACACTACTGGAGTTTATGCGCCGATGTGTTCTGTAGGCCATCGCAGCTCACGGCACAGATCCATCACGACCCGGCTCTCGACATCTGCCTATCGTCGGCTCAGTGGAGTCAGACGGGGCCCGCCGGCATGGGAGCGGACACTGGCCAGCAAAAGCCGGCAACAGGTACGGCCGGTGCCGCCGCTGCTCCGGGAGACCAGCCTACATCTCTCTGGAGCGCAACGTTTCATTGCACCCGGAGTGCATGCAGCGCTACCACAGCGGGTGATCTGGTGCGGGAACCTACGGGACCTGGCCTACGCTGATATGTACCTGCTGTGAAAATATATGATTCAGTCTTGTTCATATATTTCGTAACGTTCCACAAGATCCAGTGGCTTTTTAAAAGTTGCACGTCATCATTGATAAAAACGGGCATAAAAGAGACAGTGTGAAACCTAGTAAAAATAGCCTAGCACGTCACACATCGGTCAAGGGAACATCTCGGTGAATCACACTATTGCATTCATATTGTGGCAACACACACAATCGAACTCACACGCGCACCCACTCATGTGCCGACACTCGCCTCACTCAGTAGAAACTCCATAAGTTGACGCTTGAATCGGCCTAGACTCTGAACGTTGCGCAAGTCGGGCGGCAAGCAGTTAAGCAAATCTGCTATCGTTGATCGCCTTTTTATCCACTGAAAATAACGTTAAATCTCTCATATAATGCTATATAATCACATTTTACCCTTATTTAATAAAGAAGCGTAAAATTATTGTTACGCTTCATTTTTTTCTTTTGTTCCGTGATGATCGGCCTCTTCAGTGCGTTGGGCATTCAAGCAGTAAATCTATGGCAGAATACAAATATTTCGATGGAAGGAGGCGCAGGATGCAAACATTTTTTTCATAGTAAGTACTTGTGTTGCAACGGCGGAAAGCAAAGCACCGCACCGTTTTGTTAATATTGAGTAGCAAATGTCAGTGTCTTAGGGATGATTTGCTGAAGTCTGGCTGGAAAAACAACCACGACTCACATACAATGAGAAGAAAAACAGCTCATTGCGGATTATCTGACTATGGGAACGCCGAGCGCAACTATAGTTGCCATTCGGAAATCATATATTCAACATATTAGACTTCCATCGAAATTAACACACATGTTTCTGCAGCTAAGTAAATCAAATTGGCGATTGAAAATTGCCAATAGAGTCTTGGAGTAATTGTCGGCATTAATGGGTTAAAAGCTCAATTCAAGGGAATGTTCCACATTTGAAGGCCATATCAGATGTGATGGAAAAGGCTGACTTTCAACTTTTGGCGTGCTTTTAAGTGGAGAAGGCTGCTCTAGACGGCATAATTTCTCCAGTTAGTAAATATGCTCCTTAATACGTTATTGTTTGACTACGTTACCGTGCCCTGCACAACAATGATTGTGGGCTAATTAACGGCAGTCATATCTGGAAATCGTGCTCGCGAACGCCAGATATGAACAACTCGACAAATATATTTTTTGGGCCTTGATCGCCGCATAGCCAATGGAATGACAGGACATAAATGATGCTGTCATGGCGTTATAGATGCCTGGGCGACCTAGAAAAAGTATTCCCAAAGTAGTTTGCATATCTTCGCGGAAGCGTAGTTAGTAAACTGGAAAGGTTTAGCTCTGAAGAAGGGCAGGGCTGTGAACTGCACCATATGATCTTCAAGATGGCTTTTTCAGTTTAAAACCCCCATACATTTGTGGATTACTCTCCTTCAGTACTTGGGCCCGGCCCCGGTCCGCAGGGGGCGGGCACTCCAATGCCAGTCAGAGCGCCCCGCGCGCTGATCAGGGTCCCACTGAGTCGACACGGGCCGACATTCCGATCAGACGCCACCAGCAACGCACAGTCGGTTCCGTGGTGGCCTGCATGCTCGAAAGTGGCAGCTCTAGCTGTTACTCTAGCGCATCATGCTTTATCTGCGCCACTTCACGTCAACAATCAGCTGTTCGCAATCTCAGAGTCAACTGGCGTCCCGGTCTGCGGATCACAGGCACGGTGAGTACTTGCCTGTATCGCTGGGGCGCGTGGCATGCCTGTAACGAGTTGAAAGTTGAGAAACGAGACGAGAAAGAGAAAACGAGAAAAGACGAGAAAACGAGTTGGCAGCCAGGCTACGCATTTTCTCATTTCGTGTATTTTCACCCTCGCAATGCCCCCACACGCGGCACACAACGGTGTCCGAGCGGGGCTTAGCGGCAGTGGCGGCGGAAGGGAACCCGTACCGCAGCCTGTGTCATCCAGCTGGGTGGGTTATTTTGATATGATACATTTCAGCCAGATTTTTTGGGCGACTCGTTCTAGTCATCTTTAAAGCTTCCCCGCGCCTCACATCACATGCACTTTCACCGGAGGAGACACCGCCCTGCTGGCCCAATGGCAGGCACGCCGACTGGTGGCAGGCCGAGAGGAACTGTCCTAAAGGCTTTAGTGATAAATCACTCGACTCGCGTGACACCAGAAGTGCTTCTGCGTTCCGCCAGGACCACCCGTCGCCGTTACCGCCTATTGCCCTAACACCGCCTCTTCGCGAACAGAGAGGCCACTTCCTCTCTCGAATATAGTCACTCCTTCTCCGCCACCGGCAGGAACGGCGTCGGCTCCCTAAGGACTCGAAGCCGTTGCTGGCGGCTTGTTCCAGTCATCTCCACTCCTCTTCGCGAGTTGAAAGGTCACATCCTCTCTCAAAGGTGATCACTCCTTCTCCGCCACCAGCAGGAAGGGCGTCGGCTCCCTGAGGAGCGGCTTGCTCCGGGTGACGCCGAAGTCGTGGCGGAAGCCGTCGGGGAAGCGGAGCGTGTACCGCTGCACCACGGCCGTCACGAAGAGGAAGAGCTCGGCGCGCGCCATCGCCTCGCCGACGCACGACCGCTTGCCCACGGAGAACGGCATGAGCGCGCGGCTCGGCTTCAGCTTCCCTGCGGCGTCGAGGAATCGTTCCGGTCGGAACCGGCCGGGTTCTGGGAAGAGCGCCTCGTCCTCGTGAACGGCCTGCTGGAGCGCGACGATCTGAGCCCCTCGCGGAATCGTGAAGCCGCCCAGCTGGAACTCCTCGGCCGCCACGTGCTCAATGCCGCAGGGTGCAAGGCTGGCCACGCGCTGCGTCTCCATGAGGAACGCGTCGGTGTAGGGCATGCGAGGACGGTCAGCGAGCCGCGGCGGCCGGTCCTCGCCAGCCACCGCCCTCACCTCGGTCTGCAGCCGCCGCTGCACCTCCGGGTACGAGCAGAGGAAGCAGAAGGCCCAGCGCAGCGTGGTGCTGGTCGAGTCGTAGCCAGCCACGAAGAGGTCGAGGATGGAGCGCAGCATGTGGCCGTTGGTGAAGAGGTCCGGGCTGCGATGCTGCTCCTGCAGCAGACAGTCGATGTAGTCGCGGGGCTCGCCGTCCAAGTCCACGGTCCTCGCGTGCTCGTCGATGGCCGGCTGGAAGAGCTTGTCCATCTGTATGTTAAAGAGCCGATTCACCTTGTCCAGACCCGTGAGACGGGCGGGGAACCTCATCAGCACCGGGAAGAGAAACAACATGATGAACACCATGGTCGATTTGCCCACCTCGTCGAAGCTTTGCATCACCTCCAGCACCCTTGTGTCGTGGATTGTAAACCTCTCGCTGGAGACCATACCCCAGATGATGTTAGCGACAGAAATCCTCAGGCCGTGGTCGATGGATATCGCCTCGCCCACGCGTGGTGCCACCAATTCGTCGACGAAGGCGCTGACCTGGTCCTGAATGAGTCCCTCCAGCTGTGTCCTGCCCATGCCGAAGTTTCGCAAGTGGAAGAGCGTGAAGCGACGCGTCTGCTTCCAGACCTCGCCGTTGGAGAATATAATGCCTTTATCGCAGTAGAAAATCTTAAGCACGTCAAACATGACCCGGTTGGCGGTGTCAGGTCTGCTGAAGGCTTCCCTGATGAGGTCCGGGTCGGAGAGCACCACGGCCGTCTGTCCCAGCATCGAGCACCGGTAGATGGGGCCGTACTGCTTGCGCCACTTCATGAAGGTCTCCTCCTTCCGTATAAAATCCATCGAGAAGGTCTGGCCAACCAGTGGCAGGCCCCGGGGACCTGAAAGACACAGGTCATCAACGCTGACCCCGGCGGCACGGCGGTGGGCGCGCACCGTCGCTGTCGGAGGAGCCACGGGTGCTGAGACTCAGTCAGAAGTCCTGGCGAGGCGTTGGAGAATGACAGACGTTGTCACCGTACAGCTGCGTCGGACGGCTTTGGGACCGAGCATCTCCCTGCATTTTATTCCATTCTGCTTCATTTCTTACCTGGTCCCTCCTAATGCGTGTGTTGGATTTCCTGCAGCGGACTAACATGCGAGCGATCACATCTTATACAGCATGGCATCGCATCTACCACAGTCGTGGGCTAATAAAGGCGAAAATCGCAAACGCCTGCTTATTTGAGCCATTTCTGTCAAAGGACACTGCATGGTATGAGTGAAAAGGGCAGGTTTAATTAAAAACGAATGTCCTGCAATCCTTACGAAAACAATTACATAATCAAGATCGCAGACCCGAACTCGTTGCCCTAAACATCGAGAACGATTACAAACACACGACTGGGCTGAGCCGGCGGGCCGCTCCCATTGAGCAACGCAACAAAACCAGGCTTAAGCGCGTAACCGCATAGTTAAGCGCGCAGTTAGACTCCACGCGGCAGTGCGTGAAGTCCTGACTGCGCGATGATTTCGACCAACTTACCAGACTCATCTATTACAGATACAGATATATAATAACAGATAATACAGATACAGATAATTTACCAGATGTCCATCACCGACGGAAGCCCTCGCAGCGACTAGGCACAGCTCGATCACGGAGACGTGTTAGCTATTCATTTCGCCACAGTAGCCATATCAGGCCAGAAATGGGTGCTTGCGGTAGCGATATGTGGTTACTGTGGAAAGTGACGTACCCATTTGTACCAATTTCGACGCCTCAACCAAGGGCACTGTTTCTGGCGCCTTCTTCCGTCCCGGGCCTCTGACAATCACCTACTTAAATGGTGCTGGATTCCATACCGGCGCGATGAAACATCGCCTGGCCTTACCGGGCATACGGTCTTTGTCGTTTCTGCTGTACGCAATCAGCGCCGCCACCAAAACTACAAGCACGGCTACCGCCGCCAGCATGATGACGTCACTGGTTCTGCCGATCTGCCGCTCCACCGAGACTTGCGCGCCGCCGTGTCGTCTTCTGCGGACGTTGCCCCGCAGTGCACAATATCACAGTCTCAGAGAACAAGTGTGCACTGAGAGCAGTCTCTGGGAGCAAGTGTGCAAGTGTGCAGTCTCAGAGCACACCCCCGCGGTGAAGGCGGTTCGTGCGCAGATGGCGACGCCCGAGGTCGCTTTCGTCCGCCAGAGCCAATTCGCTTGCTGGGCGCCGGTCAGGGGCGAAGGCAGGCACTTAGTGCCTGTGGTATCTGCCTTCTGAATCACGCGAATTGTTCGTCAACGCGTGCGGCACTGAAGATCTCAAGCGCGGCCCAGTGTACCTCGAAACGACACTGACCGGCCCTGGCAGAGGCACCCCAGCAGCGGCCCGTCTGGAGCCGCGCCTGCAGCCCGTCGCATGACGTCACACCTTTCAAGGCCATGAACAATTCTTCGGTAGCATCTAATCGAGGTTCTGTTCGTGCAGTGCGCCCGCCGCCCGCGGACCGTTGGGCTGCCGCCCGCGTTTAGTGGTTGCATGCGACGCGCGCGCCAAGCATGGATTCAGCGGCTTGAAAATCTGTGTACGGGTTCGCCGAGACGCGGGTGTTGCAAACGGCCGTACCCCTAGATATTGCTGCCTGGCCATTTATTTACAACCAGTCTGGCAACGTCCCAGTGAAAATTTCTCATTTTGTTCGTCAAATGGTACACGTGTAGCATTTAAATTTCGTTAAAATAAGAGATAATTGACTTGCAGTGAAAGCAACGCCATTCACCTTTCGCACGTGGGTGCGTTGTTGTTTCTCCTCGTGTTGTGGCATGACACTTGACCGTGGTCTCTGCGGGCAAGCATCTCAACGCAGTCTAAAATCTCGGCCGTTTTCCATCAAACATTGGCACGCGCACTGCACACGCAGACTATGTAATGACAACCGTACCGTTCCGCACCGTAAATGAAAGGATTTATCGCACCCAGCGTTGTCCTCGCCTCTATCTCCAAATAATCCACCCACTTACCAGGCGTTGGCCGCACAGGTACCTACTACCATTTAAAAGCCTGCAAGGTTTATATGCACAGGAAACGCGACTCAGGGGCACGGGGCTGGTCCGTTCTTAAAATACATATCCTTTTCCGGCTACTACGGCGCCCATGAAGCCGGCCATCTCATGAACCACTACAGCGCGAATCAACTGCGCCTGAATGCGTTTTGAAATCCGGCCAGATCTTGGCGCTTGACGACGCGCTCAAATTCTGAGGCTTTCAGGACGGATCTTCTCGGGTCGGTGACGGAATCAACTCCGAGATCCACTACTGGGGGTGCAGGCTGGAATCAGCCCCACGCGGGTTGGGGCGGAGGCGTACTCCGCCTCGCCAAAGCGGAACGTTGCACCAGCCTGCAGCGCGCCGACCGTGGTCCCGGCACTGTGACGTTCTCCTGTATTCGCCGCGTCGTGATGAGGTACACAGGGCCTGACAGCACTGACGAAAACACGCGCTCGTCGCGCCCCGCGCCGCCTGGCGACGGACGCCAGGCAGCCACACACCGACACACAAACACCACGGCTCGAGGTCCTACAAACGGCGCGCCGGCGTGCGGCCCCGCAGATCAGCGGCGGTGGATGGACCGGCCCCGGCTGGTGACCAGAGAGTCGCCCGCGGCACACCCGGTCGGTAATTTAGCGGCCTCGACTCCGGCGGCGGGTGCGTGGAGCCGGGACGGCCACCAAACAGCCGACCATAGCGGACAGACCTCCCCTCAGCGAGGGCGGGGCGAGCGCACGGCTTCACGGGGTATCGCCCTCAGCATCGCGCCTCACTCGCGCGCTGCCGCGACCTCCCGCCGGCGGCGAGCAGCACCATCTAGCTCGGGACGACAGCTTCATCGACAGCTTCCCACGGCCCGGCCTTGTCTACCTCAAGGTTCGCGATTGGCACGCCTGTTACATGCGGAGACCTCTGGCGCCGCCGCCGCCGCACGAGCCACCGGGACAGTCGAGGGTGCGCATCGGACCTTAGGTCAGCTGTACACAGCGCTATCTGCCGCCAGCCGCCGCTGCTCTGGCAGCATCAATGGCCGGCCACGCGAAGCGAGACTAGGACTTGCACCGTTTTCAAATCGGCCCTGTTTCACCGCTTTCAAAGCACAGGCAAATGAGCGATAGCAATTTGGTTTTTGTTGTTTTCGAAGCCAAGCCAAACCAGGTTTAACGTGAGTTGTTCAACTCAAGGCTCAGAAATTACGACGCTGCACACAGATGAGATCCCTGGACTCAGGCCGTGGACAGGGATTTTCAGCGCGATTGAAAACGGCGCAGGGCGTAGTCGAGCCTAATGAAACTCATCCGGCGCACCGACGTCCGCCACCCCGGACCGCACCAACACCGAAAATGGCGCCAGCCGTCGCACCATCACCCAACCTGGCGCCAGCCGCCGCACCACCACCCAACCTGGCGCCAGCCGCCGCACCATCACCCAACCTGGTGCCAGCCGCCGCCGCACCATCGCCCAACTTGGCGCCAGCCGCCCCCGCGCCATCACCGAACACGGTCATCACCTAAGCCTGGCGCCGGCCACCGTCCCTCCCGCAGTGAACACCGCCGCCGCCGCCGCCGCCTCGCCCACTCTCGGGACCGCAGGCTGAGTCCTCCAGCTGCCGAGCGGCGGGCGTCGCCGGCGCCGGTCGCCGCGGCCGCCGCCACGCGGCAGGCGGGAGCCCTGCGGACACCACACCGCCGACACGGTCAGGTCAGGGTGACGACCGCCGGCGCCGCACCGGCGCACTTCTCTGGACCGGACCGCTGGTGGATCGGCGCAGCGGCATTAGAAGAACGCCGACATCGCTGCAGTTGGAACTTCCTGAAAATGTGCTCCACTCCTGGGGTTAGGCGGCACAGCAGCATTTGATTTTTTTTCGAAGGGACGACAGCGTTCGCGTTCATATTGATCAGCACTACATGGGCACGTGCAGGGACACTTTCCCATGACCATGACATGGGAAGACCCACACACGCTGGGTGCAGAACCGCTCAGCGCCGTCAGAAAGGGGACGGCCAAGGGCTAGCGGGCGCGGGGCGGGGCGAGGCGGGACGGGGCAGCGCAGGGCGGGGCGGGGCGGGGGATGTGAACCCAGCACTCGCAAGCACCGACTGACCGCGTGAAGCCCCGCCCCAGCGCGGCAGCCGGCCGCGCTGACCGGCAGCGAGGTCGGCGAGCTGGTGCGGCCCGAGCAGCCGCCAGCCGCCGGTCAGGTGCTGGAGGCGAGTGTCTGGCCTCTCCAACACCATGGGACGGTAGTTCATACTGAATTCCGGGAATGAAAATGTGAAAAGTCGATAGTTCCGCTGCTAGCATCGATCACCTCAGTGTCGGCTCTGTGTCAATGTGTCGGCTTAAATACGCCCTCGCTGTACTTAAAACTGTCGAAAGCTGAAAGCAAAAACGTTTCTTAAAAATGGATGCTTTGGTATTTCAGCTGTTGCGCGTGATGCGACACACCAGACTGCATTTTACCAAGTATCATCCGCGCCAAACCCTTGCATCTCAGCGACCGGGGCCTGGCTACATGCCATTTGACCATTTGAGTTTCGCTACGAAGCCCGCAGTACAACGAAGGCCACGTCCTTCAGTCTCCTGCCCTTGCCGTCTCTCGACTTCGTGCCGTCACCCCGCCCAAGATACCCATACTTTGCCACCGTGCTGGGTCCCACTGAGCACCGCTGACACAAACTGTTTGTGCTATCAGTCAGTCGCTGAGTCCTGTTCATTTTTGAACGTCTTAGCAAAAAAATTGGCAAATTTCGTGTCATCTTTCCGTGCGTTCCTAATGTCGCACCATGCTGAGCATAGTGTCGCAAATATTAGCGAAACACTGCTGGAAACGCTGGAAATTAATGAGTTGACGAAGGCACCAGCTGACTGAATCAGCCTAAACACGTGTCAAACATATCAGAAACATAAGACATTGCGCTCGCCCAGCCGCACAGCACCCAGCGAAAAACACGGCGCTGCTATCTCCCACACAGCTGCCTCCAGTATCGTGATTAATCAGTTATCTTGTTCGTCAAATACTGTTGTCAAATGCTAACCCAACGCACAAACGCGTTAATCAAAAGCAATGTCAAAGACCCCGAAACGAAAAAAATAAGCGTTATATCAAAGTTAAATGTCTATGCGTCACAACGTAGTGACGCACCGTCGATAACGATAATACGCCATTGTATCCTGTTGCAACTGCCGTAAATGTGGTTGCTCTCAGCTCCGCCTGAGGCAAGTGTTCATCTCGATTATCTCACCTGGCTCCAATGACGTCATCTGCGATGCACAATCTACCGCGGCTGTCCACTGATTGATACACTACTCATGTGTGCGCAATGCTTAGTTGCACCCTGCGCCGTTGGTCTATGACGTACGAACTACGGACGCGCCATAAGTTATTGGGCCATTATTATCCTGACACACTATAGATAGTTCAATTGACAGATTTGACATGACGAACGCAGATGCGTAGCACAAACCAGGGGGAGGGGAGGGGGAGGGGTTACGCCCAGCTCCTTTAAGATAGACGGAAAGGTGACAGCCTGGTCTCAGATCAGCCAATTAGACCGCAGGGCCGCCGTGACGTCACTGTGGATGCATGAGGAGTGCAAATCATGCGAATCACATGTAAAATTGGAAAATTGTCTAGCTTAGTCCTGGCCACATCGAGCTTATGATTAAATCAACAGAACAGCAGGCAAAAGTTTACAACATAACCCACCAACACATTGTTTGATACAAGAAAGACCCTTACTATTGATTTTGTGACATTATTAGTTCAAAGTTCTTACGTTGAGTGAGCGATCTTCAACATATCAGGAGATGCTGGCAAAACGACGTTTAATACCAAATAGCGATTATATTAACGACCTTTGGGAAAAGGTACCACATGACCACACTACCTTGCCTGATCTGTGCGAAATTAACTGGGGGTCTAGCGCCTGAACGCTGGGAGTGGAAGAAAAGGATGAACTGAAGGGAAGGCTGGGGTCACTCACCCAGCCTGACGTCATCATCTGTGCGTGCTGGACAGCAGGCGGCGGCGGCTAGGCGAAACTGAGCCTGCAACAGGGCCGCCCAGCGCGTTACCTTCTGCCGACGGCACGGCACACACGGCGGCCGGGGGCCACAGCCAAACCTGCTGCCATCGAAGAGTCGGCACCAGCCAGAACCGGCCACAAGGCCGCGAGTTTTCGGCATCCGGAGCCCTTGCGGTCCGTCCCCTCATGCGCAGCGAACCTTCAGGCATGCTGGATGTCAGTTAGTCCCGGCCTGATCACTCGTGGCGGCCTGGCCTTCAGTATCCCTTCGCTGCGAGTCTGGTGAGGCGCCGCATGCTTTGGGGCGTAGCCATGGGATCGGTCTGATCGAAAACACGCGGCGGGCCATCGCCGCCCAAAGATAACGTGCTGCCACCGTGAAAGGCGCTGCGACTGCTCCAGCGTCTCACAGTTCGAGCCCACGATGGTGCAGCTACATCAGGCGCGTGCTTTGCCACGTCGCAAAACGACAGGTGAGCGGTGTTTCAGCCTCGGCAATGCATGGTGTGGCGCCCGCGTGCCACGGTCGGCGGCTCAAATTACTCCGAGTCAAAAGACTCGAGTCGGAACGAGACTCAGAAGCGGTGCGGTGGCGTAACGCTGGAGTTTGAGTCTCTAGAGCTGCGGACATCGCCATGTCGGGTCAGAAGCGACACGTGTTGTATTTCCGCATCCGCTGACGAAACACACGCCTTGAACGTGACCAGCACGCTGCAGCACCGGCTGCTGGTGCCGGACCGCGCCGGCCACCTCCAGTGTCCCGAGTAATCCGCACTGTCTAGTCAATCGACGACATTGAGTACCAGCCCCCAGTGGAGCCCATCTGGCCCATTTGATTTTGTCTGCAACCGTCTGACCCGGGGGAATATCGGCCTCTCTGTCCAGACCTTGGCAGCTACCCAAGCTGCTTATCCCAGAAGTTCATTCATTCATTCGCTATCCAAGTTCATTCATACTGCGCAGCGGCAGAACCGGTCGACGCTCACTCCACAGCGGCTCCGCCTCGGCACCGACAGCCCACGCACGACCCATTCGATGCCTGACAAACCCAGCACTCGCAATCTCTCCGAAGACCCCGCGCCTCCACCGAGCATACCGCTGCTCCCCACCCGCCGCCAGGACTCCGCCAACCCACAGTTCGGCATAACCCGTATCTACGGTTCAACACAACCCGCACCTGTTACGCCACATGTGGCTGGGCCCGGCGTGCAGGCCTCCAAGTCTCGGCGCCGGTCTCCACACCCTGCCGTGGAAGCCCGCCCAGCCAGTCTTTGAACGCGGCATTCCTCAGAAGGGGGCAGGGCGGGAGCGGGGGCGGGGCCGAGCAGCGGGGCTGGCAGTCCCAACCCAACATGGCTATCAGCCCACTCCAGCCAGACGCCGCACCAACAACACTGATAACCGCCGACAGGGTGCTGGCTGCCGATTGTACTCGAGACCCCCTGCCGCCCCCAGCGGCGGGCGCGATAGCAAACCAAGGTCACGGCCGGGTCACCGTCGCCGATACACGGGGGCGGACGGGACAGTGATCTCTGTGACCTGCGCAGCCAAACTGGCCCACCGGCGGCTTGTGTCGGCACAAACAGAGGACGGACGTGGGCGACACGAGCGTCCCGCTGCGCGTCCAAGAATAGGGCTGCCGCGCGACACAGCGCCCGCAGACGATGGCGGCTGCGACGGCCTCTGGAGCTTTCTGAGTTGCTCCTATAAAATTGCTACTCATATACGCTGCTCCTACACAGCGAGCGGCTCCTACACAGAAGCTGCTTTTACACAGCTGGTCCTACACAGCAGCTGCTCCTACACAGCGAGCGGCTCCTACGCAGCTGCTCCTGCACAGAAGCTGCTCCTACACAGCGAGCTGCTCTTACACAGGGTGCTGTGGGGGCGCGGCATCCCGCGTCGAGGACTGTGCGAGTGCGCAGACGAGGAAGCCGTGGTTTGGGCCGACAGTCCCACCAAGTCTTCCCCGCGCTCAAGAGCCCAATGTGTTCCTCGGAACTGCTGAGCTCATGCGGCCGCAATGCTGCGGTCAGCGCTTTTTCTCCGGAGAGGAATCTGCGAGCCCGAAGCCACACGGCAGTTGCCATAAGCGCACGCGGCAAGTGACGGAGAAACGTCCGTCCCTATCGCGAAATAAGACCCGTCGTCCAGCACGGCATTACCAGGGTGCAGACTAGTCGATTACGCTTACCGATCCCTATCCACGTGATTGCATACACAGATACAAATGTTTGCTCGTTTGCAGATGACCCCTCTAGCAGATCAGCCAAATACGCCGTGCTCTGGTATTCAACGCTCACATGCAGGACCTGTGCAAGGTCAGGCGGTGCTCAAAGTACGGACCAACACGCAGCAAACCGTGCTCAAGCCATGCTCCGCGTCAGCCGTCGCCTGCTATGGCCGGCGAGCAGCCGCGCGACGGGCGCGCCATCTACCTCCTACGGGCGTCGCGTGTGCTGCCATCTACAGGGCGGCGGCGGGAGTCGGCGAGCCGGGCGGGCGGCGCGGCGGCGGGCGCTCGCTTGGAGCCGCCGCCGGCTGCAGCACGGAGGCAAGCCGGCGCGAGCAGCGGCAGACGCGAACCAGCGTCGGAGAGAGGGGAAAGAGCAGCGGGGTGAGAGCGGGTACGGCGCAGAGAGCAGCCGGCCACGCTCACAGGCGGGTCATGTGACGCTCTCCAGCAGGAGGCTCCACTGCGGGCTTTGGTCAGCAGCGCGCCACGGCGTCAGAAGTGAAGACGACAAAGCCTCGAATCGAGGCCACCCTTGGCAGACGTTCACATGGCACGGGCAACAACATCTAGTAAAGGCTTTTGAAACAGGACTGGTGACAGAAAAAAACACATTCGGAAGTTTCTGCCAAGAGCGTCCATCTACAGGAGTACCAGTTCCAGATCGAGTAGAGCGTTTGGTACGTGACAGGCGGCGCATGACATGCTCTCCGTCCCACAGCTCATCATCAGAGGTGCGGCGGGCTCTACCGGGCAGGAGCCCGAGCAGCCAGCCTGCGTTAACAGACCCGCTGTCAGGCGCCGCCCATATATGACGTCACACATGGACGGCGAGCGCGGGCTTTAATGCAGCGAAAGTGGACGCAGCAGACATCACCATTACGGGACGTTACACTTATACACCGTAACCACGCGAGAGGGGTCACCCAGCATAACCAGCACGCAACCCGGGGAGGGACACTGCAAATGGCCAGTGACGCGTATCGTGCTTTCTGGACGGCTGCTCACCTTCGAGGGTGACCAGAAACGCAATAATATGGCTTAAGTGCATGGCAAGCACACAAAATACAGCCTGAATCACAGGAAACATGAGAAATACTGTCTGAATGCACCGGAAGCACACAAAAACCGTCTGAATGCACTGGAGACACGCGAAATACTGTCTGAATGCACCGGAAACGCTCTACACTTGCTTTACCAAACCGTGCTGCAATTCCCAGGATTTCGCAAGGTTCGCAAGCTCAGCCCCGCTGCGTCACACATAAAGTGACGCCACGCACGACGTGATGTCACACACCAACCAATCACGCTTGCTCGCCGTCAGAAGTCCGCACGTCTGTTTCCTGGCAGAATCTATACCACACCTTTGCGCATTCCTGTTAAGCAAAAAACTAGCCACAAAACGAACCACTCACACATCTTTTTCCATACCAAGCATCGTCCATGTTCGATCTGTGCCACCCGGGTGTCCCCGCACCCGTAAAAGCCACTCACCTGTAACAGACCGCGAAGCACCGCGCATCTCACAAAGACGACAGCAAGTTGGTGAATACACTGCTACCGACCGTGAGTGGTAAGCCTCGCACGACGCGTAGTTACCAGTTGCCCACCGACCAAACGGCGCCTTTATCACCACCTCGACCGATACCCTGACATCCGCAAACTCGAAACACTCGAATCGACCAAATCGATTCTGCCGGGACGCGACATCCGTCTGCCGACACGCGACGCCCGTCCGCTCTGAGACGGCAGGTTCCCGTGCACGCCCTTAAGTCCGGCTCTGCGGCTCACAACGAACGGCGTGAAACGTTCATCCCACGTTAGAAGGGAGCCATTCTGGCGAAGCGTCACCGAGTGCGATACCTGGACGCACCGTGCCGCGCTCTCGGAAATAATGCGGACACGTCTAGATTTGTGTTTGTTCCAAACGTTTGTCTACGCTAGACTTTTGCCAGCTCAAGCTAATGTATAGAAACAACCTTTTTTTCTAAAAAATCTGCACATACAAGTGGGTACTTGGATGACGAGATCCATGCGAGACTCCCAAAACACGACGACACATGGCACGTGGCAGACACGGAGGGAGCACCTGGTGCCAGCCCTACGCACCAGCAGTTTTCAGCATGCCCCGACCGCGCTTACCCCATGCCTTGGCCGGCTGTGGCTTTGACGGCACGACTGCCGGCGGGTCGGCTTTGTGCTTTGGCTTTGTGTCCTGTCGACGAACCGGGGCGAAGGTCAGCTGATGAATAGAGACCAGGGTCCTGTTTTGAATCGCCTGCCGTGGGCTGATGCGCTGCTGAAATGACGCGGACGGTAGCCGGCAGACAAGCTACCACGGTGCTGACAGGCTGCGGAGCACCACGCCCGGCAACGAAATGCGTCATGTCGGCAGCGCAGCAGCAGCCGGCGGTAGGCGGTTGGAAACAGGCTCCATACGCAGACGCGGGAAAGCTTAAAGCATAACGCACGGAGCGACGACTACCCAGAAAAACAAGTGCGGAACAGATGCAATGGAAACGGGAAGAAACGGGATGGTGGCCTTGGAAAACGGGAGACGTAAGCAGCTGAGAACTGAACATTTCTTGAGAATGAAATTAAATCGCGGGACACAAACGCGTCGGGCGCATGTGGAGGATACGGAGATGACGCGGTGTCGAATGAATGTAACGGCGACGCAAGCGGGTGCATTGGGCGCGAATGCCGAGGTGAAACAACAGGTGAGTGCTGAGGCGAGAACACAAAAAGAGGGTAGAGGTGGGTATGAAAGGCGAGTGTCGAGGTGGGAACTAAAGGTGAGTGTCGAGGTGAGAACAATGGGTGAGTGTCGAGATGAGAACAATAGGTGAGTGTCGGGGTGAGAACAATGGATGAGTGTCGAGGTGAGAACAATAGGTGAGTGTCAAGGTGAGGACGACAGGTGAATATCGAGGTAACAACAACAGGTAAGTGTCGAGGTGGGAACAAAAGACAAGAGCTCGAGTTCGAACGCGCAAGCGATGGTGCGCGTAGAAACACACGGCGCAATAAAGACAGGGCTAGACCCCCCCCCCCCCCAGACCTGCAGCTGACCCAGTGACCCGTGACCCAGTGGCCCGTGACCGCTGACCTGGCGACCCTGGTATCGGGACCAGGTGGGCGCCAGCTGCCGGGTCGTCTCCGTGCTCGGACTGATCCTCGGCAGGGTCGACCGGCTGCGGAGCAGGCGCACACAAACTCTCAGATGTGTCACGTCCAACACCCCGAAAACACCCTGCTCTCGACGGGAACGGCACGTAACAACTCGCTGTGAGGTACGACCTTCCCGCTCAGCCCCGATCCGATCATCATCTGTGGTTCAGGCGGTCGTGAGAACATTATGCCGCACCCAATCGCTGTCACATGGGCCGCGATGTATTCTTGTGACAAGAGCGCAGCTTTGCCTAGCATCTACCGCGTTTCCAAACAGAAGTTCTGGCGGCGGCGGATCAGGATGGCATTTCATTGCATGAGAGTGTCAGCCTATGTCATGTAATCGTAGCACAGAGAAACACCATCATGTGACAGGGCAACACGGAGAACCACCGACTACTGCACCAACAATACCCAACAAGTGTACCTAACGAAGCTGCTATTCAAGGTATGAAGTCGTAACCCCTTTTAAATACATCATGCTATCGTAACACAAAGCTGAGAACTGTTAGTACGTCGCTTTTCTCATTCTAGACATGGTTTGATTGATTACAGCTAGATCAAGCGGCAATATGAAATTTATACCGATAGGTGACAGCACAGTTGACCTAGGACACCTTCGGAGTGTTCAGAACGGTACGCAGCCCGAGCCAGTTAATGTCCCTATCTGTCATTTTCAGCGCTTTTAAAGCAGATTCCCGCAACAATTTCACCAACACCAACGCTAGATGACGACGCACCGCAGCGCCTATGCCCCCTCCTCTGTCATCTCATCCATACACCCCCGCCCCCCCCCCCTGCCCACCTGTTGGCGCCGGCGCGGGCCGGGGAGGCGCCGTCGCCGCGCGGCCGGCCGCCGCCCGGCTGCCTGACGGCCGGCAACGGGGGCCGCGCCGGCGAGCGGCCTGCCCTGGCGGCCGGCCGGCCCGCCCCCGCCGCCGTCTCCGTCTCCACCCGGAACCCGTGGTCCAGGTACGGCCGGCCCCGCCGTCCCGCCGGCGGCGGCGGCGGGGCCGGCGGCGGCGGTGGGGGCGGCGGCAGCGGCGGCGTGGTCGGCCGGCCCGGGTCGCTGTGGCGGCGGGCGCGGGCGGACGCCTCGCGCGAGACAGAGGTCAGCTTGAGCGCCTCGGCCGACTCGGCACCCAGCTGCCGGCCAGAGGTCATCGGGTCAGACGGAGCTAACGGTCGCAGGTCAGAGGTCACTGGGTCAGACAGAGCTTACGGCCGCAGGTCAGAGGTCACAGGTGAATGTGAGTGGCAGAAGTCGGGGTTGGAAGTCATGGGTAGGGGGTCAGGGACGGGTTCAGGGGTCAGGGGTTAGGGGTTAGGGGTCACTGGTAGTGGCAAGGAGTGGATGTGGAGTGGAGTGGAGATGAAGTGGAGGATGCGAAAGGTAGGGATCATTGTGATTCATCAGAATCAGAGGGACAGACACGGATCAAGGTCACTCGGGTCAGAGTTTGCTGCGGTCAGTGACGCAGGCCCTGCTCAGAGGCCATGGAGGTCACATTTAGAGATCATGACCCATGACGCAAGCTTGAATTACAAATCACCTCGATAGGTCAGGATCGGAGGTCCGGTTTATACCTAAGGTCAGGGTTACGGTTGGCGCTAACAGCCAGAGGTCAAGGATGGAAGTCAAGGAACAAAGAAAGCTGAGGATCCACACAAACAAACACCACGTGGAACCAGCTTGCTTCAGGGTCAAAGTCAAAGATCAACAGCCATAAAAAGACACCGTGGGAGACATCAGATACACGCCCGTACGAGCGTCAGGGCCACGGCAACACCGAGCGAGCAGCGCAGGTCACGTGCTCACTCCAGCTGACCTGGAACACGGGCGTCATGGTGCGCACGTAGTCGGCCCACAGCAGCGACACCAGACTGTTGGTGACCATCTCCGTGACGAGGCCGGTCGGGTCCGTGACGGCGGCAGCCGCCGGCGGCTCCTCGGCCGGGGCCGAGCCGGCGGTCGGCGCCGGGCTCGAGCCGTGCTCACACAGCGTCTCCTCCCGGCCCGGCGAGCGCAGGCAGGCGGCGGACTCCTCACTGGCGGCACGAGGACAGCGGTCAGGTCGCTGGGGGTGGCGGCTGGAACAGCGACTTCCCTCTGTTGGGATGTGCAAAACACTCCTTGTCGGTGTAGACTATGTGCAGACTATGCAAACCATGCCCCTGAGGGCGAAAACACTCAGCTCACGTGGCGGTGTACAGGCCACGCGCATGCAGCGAAAGCGCACACAACACCTTGGAGTGGGCGGAGGGGGGAGGGGGAGAGGGATGGGGAGGGGGAGGGGGGAGAGGGATGGGGAGGGGAGGGGGAGGGGGAGAGGGAGGGGGAGGGGGAGGGGGAGAGGGATGAGGAGGGGGAGGGGGGAGGGGGAGAGGGAGGGGGAGGGGGGAGAGGGATGGGGATGGGGAGGGGGGAGGGGGAGAGGGAGGGGGAGGGGAGGGGGATGGGGAGGGGGAGAGGGATGGGGGAGGGGGAGAGGGATGGGGAGGGGGAGGGTGGAGAGGGATGGGGAGGGGGAGGGGGAGGGTACGAACCGATCACTGAAGGCGGAGTGCACCATATGGAGGGGGATAAGGTGCGTGGGGCGCGTGCAGCCAGCACAGCCCGCGCTGGGGCAGAACGATGATGTTGGCAATATTGGATTTGCCGGAGCACCAGTCACAGAAAATGTTGGCGAGAACCTGCCGCACTGAAAGCCACCACCAGATAAACACCGACGTCAGCTCAAGTCCGACTACAGCGCGTCTTGGATAGCGCCGCTTCCTCGCCCCGCCTGCCACCTGACAGGTTAGACTAAGAAAACTTGTGTCGGGTTTGTCTTTGCACGCTTTTCTGGTGCAGACGAAGCACCGGGGAGCCCCCACTTGTTGACAGAAGGTACAGTAGCATCGGGTCCGCACTGCGGGGGAATCTGTACGTGATCATTTGTCGAGGGCGCCTAAAGCCCACCAACTCCCACCACGCACGACAAAACGCCTTTGGACACAAGTACACCACGAACAGCTTCCACACCTCCAACTGCTTGAAGCCGTCTCTAAGACGACACAAGTGCACCCCACAAGAGCGCGATCCGACGCTGCAAGCCCGCCAGCCCTCGGCGACGCACGAGCGCCGGGCACCACCCCGGGAGCCCCCTCCCCCCGGCCGGTCCCAGCGACAGACAGGGTTGGGTGTGGGGGGAGGGGAGGGGGAGGGGGAGGGGGGAGCGTCGACTCACTCCACGGGTCCGTCCTCGGTGAGAAGCGTCACGCGCACCACGGCCCGGTCTGGCGGTCGGGAGGGCAGCACCGGCAGCCGGCGGCCCACCACCCTGCGGCGACGGGCAGCGCGCGGTCAGAGGCCACGCGCTCATACACAGCCGGGGGGCAAAGGTCAGCGGATGGGGCCACCGCCTGTCCCGGGGTCAACACCGACCTAGCGCATGGTCAGAGGTCAGCAAAGGGCGTCACGGACTGCTATCGGGGTCAGGGCCGAACAACGCCGGGGCGACACACCATCGGGCGAGCAGACCACGACTTTGTAGTGGTCTGCGTTGACAACAGATGGCTTCACACAAATACGGCGATGAGCCCTGAGTAACGGAGTTCTGTCGGAGCCGCCGCTGGGTATGGAGCTCGGCGACGACCCAACGACCCCCCCCCCCCCCCCACGAGGACTCACCGGGCGCCGCCAAGCACAATCGCTGCGCACATCCGCCAGGTCGAGTCATCAGTCAGCCACCACGCGCGTACAATCCCCGCGTCTCGGTCCGCACGCGGAGCAGCGCCGCACCCACCCGCCGGCGCCGCGGAGCCGCTCCCCACGGTCACCGCGCGTCGACACCGCTCTCACCGAAAGTGCGGGAAGCGTTTGCTCCAGAGCCGACACTCGTCGACCAGCGCCGGCGCCATGGTCTTCTCCTGTTCGCCCTCGAACAGCAGGCGGTCGACGCTCTCCAGCATGCGCTCCACCTCCAGGGTCGACTCCCGCTCAAACTCCTGCGCACGCGCGGGCGGGCGGGCGGGGGGGGGGGGGGAAGACGCCACACGTCAGCGGAGGGCGGCGACGCACCGCCACCTCACGGGAAGAGACCGCTCTCCCGCCAACAGTCACGTGACCGGTGCTGCGGACGCTTGCCGTCACACAAGCCGCACTCCCACATCGGCCACGGGCGATCAGGGGCTCCACAGCAAGTCACGTGACCGGTGCTGCGGACGCTTGCCGTCACACAAGCCGCACTCCCACATCGGCCACGGGCGATCGGGGGCTCCACAGCAAGTCACGTGACCGGTGCTGCGGACGCTTGCCGTCGCACAAGCCGGACTCCCACATCGGCCACGGGCGATCAGGGGCTCCACAGCACACGGCACCATGACACTGCCGCGGCGATGACAAGGCCGCGCTCATGGTCTTCAACCGATGTATGCTCAATGTCGGCCACCATAGCTCGGTTGGTTAAATAGTCTGCCCTTCGGTCCAACGACCCGCGACGGAGTGGGTTCGAGTCGCTTTAGACGCTCGCTGTTTGCCCTACACATGTATGGACGGCGGTCGGTGGCCTGTGGCGGCCGGTAGCAGCAGTCGCACTTAAGGTCAGGTGACGTCAGAGGGCAGGAGGAATTGTGTCGAGGATCACGGTGCGCTAAGCTTTCGTCGCCAAATTCTGTCGTTGAGCCGTAATCGCGCGCTGTAATCACAATCGGAGGGCAGAAGCCAGGGCTGATGCAACAAGCACTTCTTAGTGTGAACTCTGACCTCAAAAACCCATCCATTCAAAACGTTCAGATTAAGCCGGAAGAAACGCCTCAAAAGGAGGACAACCAAAAACCTTCACTCTCAGTCAGGTCAGGTCAGACCATTTCAGTCATGTAAGGTCAGTTCAGGTCAAACCATGCCAGTCAGGTCAGGTAAGGTGAGGTCAGGTAAGGTGAGGTCAGGTAAGGTGAGGTCAGGTAAGGTGAGGTCAGGTAAGGTGAGGTCAGGTGAGGTCAGGTAAGGTGAGGTCAGGTGAGGTCAGGTAAGGTAAGGTCAGGTACGGTCAGATGAGGTCAGGTCACACCACGTCAGATCAGCGTGCGGCCCGGCCAGGCGCCGGCGGACTCACGTCGTCGCCCCACGAGAGCAGCGACATGACGGACTGGGTGCGGCCGGGCTCCTCCCCCGGCAGGTCGCCGTCCGTGGTGGCTGACCTGCCGCCGCAGCCAGACAACCATCACCGCCCGCTCCGAGACACCGCTCTGTGCCGCCCCTCGGCGGCCGCGGCCGCACACAGCTGGGAAGCGCGTGCCGCACGGAGGGGGCGCGGCGACCGCGGCAGGCGCATGGAGCACTTGGCGAACAGAAGAAAACTTAGCTTATCAGTAACTGTGATAGCAATGTCACTGTGATGGCAACAGATCTACCAGCGTCCGCCATAGCGGCAGCCCGCGGGGAATATCAGCTGGCTGGACTGCTGATAATCGGCAGGGTGACTTTGCGAATCACCTGTTGCTAAACGTGGAACGCATTTGCCAGGACACAACATAGCCACTTCCATTCGCGTCGTTTCTAGGTCGCCATCGGGCCAGCCAATAAAAAAGATCACACAAACGCTCTGGATTCAAGCCCACAATACTCAAATTGAACTCGTTCGCCCGCGGTCACTGAGCTCAACGCCGTTATAGTGGATACCACGGAGAAGCCAAGGTCGCCGAGTGAGCCCAGGGGACTCCAGGTCCAGGCAAGCGAACACGCCCAGCAGCAGGACAAGTTTGCTAGTGAACGTGTTGTCAGCTGCTGATGTCTTAGCACAGCACTGGTTACAGTTACAGCGCTATTGTACCCTCGTTACAGTTGCAAGGTGGCAGTAAACAGCAGGCATACATGCACCATCTGAGGCCGCTGGTGGCCAGTTCAGACCAGCTTGTCAGAGGTGAGACCAATGGCCCATACTGGCCCATACTGGCTTATACTGGCCCATACCCGATGTCATCGCGAAGAAAGCCGAGTCCAGAGTCGTCGTTTTCCGCGTCCGGAGGAGGCCTTGAGAAGCCCAGTTTCTCCACACTGCGAGAGTCGCAACACAATGGTCACCATGTTGCCCAATGGTGCCAATTCCTGTGATGAAGGCTGACCAAGGAAGTGCCTGGAGATGAGGGTGATGACCTCCTTGGGTGTGGGAATGGCTTTGCCCTTCTGGCAATGCTCACATTCCAGCTTGGTTTATCTCAGTCCTTACACAAGCCTCCCATGCCACCCAAAGGTGCTATCACATAGTGTATGTACACAGGGGCAGTTAAACTGTTGACAATCTTGACCAATAGTGGGGACAACTTTAAATGAAAATGACAGAACACCCAGCTAAAGGGGCATTAGTTTGTTGGGTAGTGGATACATCATGGTCAGTATCCAGTTCTGGGGTGTGACACACCTTCAGGGATGAACAGCTCATGAGCAGTCATCAGGGGGGGGGGGGGGGGGTCAGTGTAACACCTTCAGGGATGAACAGCTCATGAGCAGTCATCAGGGGGGGGGGGTCAGTGTAACACCTTCAGGGATGAACAGCTCATGAGCAGTCATCAGGGGGGGGGGGGGGTCAGTGTAACACCTTCAGGGATGAACAGCTCATGAACAGTCATCAGGGGGGGGGGGGGGTCAGTGTAACACCTTCAGGGATGAACAGCTCATGAGCAGTCATCAGGGGGGGGGGGGGGTCAGTGTAACACCTTCAGGGATGAACAGCTCATGAGCAGTCATCAGGGGGGGGGGGGGGGTCAGTGTAACACCTTCAGGGATGAACAGCTCATGAGCAGTCATCAGGGGGGGGGGGGGGGGTCAGTGTAACACCTTCAAGGATGAACAGCTCATGAGCAGTCATCAGGGGGGGGGGGTCAGTGTAACACCTTCAAGGATGAACAGCTCATGAACAGTCATCTCTGCTTGCAGTGGGTCTTACTTTCGTCGAGAGAATGACATCTTCAGGTGGGCTCCGACAAAATCAATGGGACTGAGTTACATAAGCACAACTCCATAATGTAGGTGAGAAATAGTCTGAAAGAGAAGAACATCTGTGACATTAATACACAATGTTATGATGATCGGGCACATGACAGCTCCTCTAAAATTTTCATTGCCTGATAGTATGAAAATGACACCATTCCAGTTGCCTTTCAACATGAATAAAAAAACAACCTGTTGATGCACCAGTATCAGTTGCACCTTGTTTTCAGGAATATGACCATAGCAGGGAACACGATACCAGGTGGAAGTGCCACCAGTTGGTACTTCCTTCCATGGAACCTATGCCAAGGCCAGAATGTTCTAGCATGATTTTGGCATAAAGATTAAAATCCAGGCAGGCAGGTACAAGGTAACTTGGGGAGATGCTGCATCATTTTGCCCTCAACTACAAAAATTCCTGACAACCATTTGTTTTTATCATGCTGGGCAGTCAGACACTTTTCAACTAAAACATTGGATAACTCAAAATGAGGTCACTTTTATAGAGAAAGATCCATTACATAAGTAAAATTAAAACTTCCAATTAATCTAGCTAGCAGGAATATCATCACCTAAATCTGCATATTGTAAAGTACCAGCAGCACATGACAGCCCTCTGTAACCCAAAACATTTACTCAATAGCACAGAATGTGAGTAAATGTTTGCACACCACCCAAATATTTATCATTCTTTCAAACATATGCTCTCTCTAACCCAACAATACTGACAAGCCTTGCTAATGGCACAGGTCCAGCAGGAAGCGAGCACCAAACAGGCATTCAACCATTACTTATAGCAACATCTTTTCCCATCATAATACAAATACCAGGATTTGTTGAAAGGCTCCTTGCTAGCACCCACAGTTTCTTCTGGACAATGCAAACTCAAAATATCATGTATTTATTTGTTATATCTAGTCTCAATAACCTCAAGCATGACACATGAAACAGCCTTGACCTCCACACAGCCCCATCTCCTGCTGCTCATTAGACTTGCCTGTGTTAGTACTTTAAGGACAATGATGTAGAATTGCAGAAATATCTGTAGGCTTACCCCTACACCATGCACATGCTAAAAACTAAAAACCGAACCCAGTCAATTAATTGATTTTGATGCCTGCGACTGAATAGCATGCTTGAAATGGAGTTCATCTGCACAACCTTAGAAACAATACTGACAACTGAGCGAAGAAGACGAAACACTAGGCAAAATTCACACCCCGGCGACGGTACCCCACTTCACCACAGGTGATTTCAAAAGATGTTTGTGTTATTTCCACGGCTACGCCGCCAATCGCCGCAAGCTTGGAGTCGTCTGCTAGGAAGTCCCAAATCGAAGATACAAGGTATAGGCTGTGGCTTTGGACGCACTCACTCCTAGTGTTGGGCAGAAAGTGCATTTCCTAGAGCAGTGAGAAGTACAATACCGCTGTTCTTCATGTATTCATATTCGTTTATTACACCAAAAACACTGAAGAAGGTGCTGTGGTGGACTATGTTCTGCACAAAAAACTATGTCGTCAGTTGTACATCAATAGCCTGTTACAATTTCTCAAGACTACATCTAAATGCTTTCAGCTCCCGAAAGGACAAGGTTACAGAAACGCCGGCCAGACAAGCCAGTGACTGATTACGAATGAGACCTTAGTTAATTAGTTATTGTGTTTTAAGGATGCATCAGGCGCAAAATAAGTATTTGCGCCAATTGTTACAAGGTCTTAATTTTTGATGAGACATAAATGATTTGAGCGGAAAGCGCAACGGAAAACTACTGGCACTGTCCGCTGCCTGACAGGCGCCTCGAGGGGCACGCACCAGATACGGTGCTATCCGGATGCAACATTGCCTACAATCAGTAAAATTGTTGGTCTGTGACCAGGAGAACCGCATTATAAAATCAGTTGGGTGGGGGGGGGGGGGGGGGTGAGGCAATATAATTTACATTACATTTTCGCCAGAGCCCGGGGTGATGCCATCAATTTTTGATAAGAGGTAGAGGTCAAGCAACCCTCACGACAATACTTGAGTAGAAATGGGAGAGAAATCGTGCGTTTCGTTAGTGGAGTTTTCGTGAATGATCCATGGAAATGTAAATTCTTTCTGTACGCTATATCACCTGCTCTACCGCAATTTCGTAGCTTTTTTCTCAGCTTCTTCTTTAGGGCAAGTTTCGGGCATTTGCGGCCTACTGTCGATATGGTAAAGCCTGCATTTGTCCCTGGAAGTGCCGCTGATGAGTGCTAGCGTCGTACCTGCAGCGTTTGCGCGACCAGGGATAAGAATACTAGGAGCTTGAAGACAGGGAAGAAATGAATGAATGGTGGCTTATTCAGATTAGTTTAGAAAATGCTATCAAGTAAAGAAATTTAATCGAAAGATACATTATGTTCTTTCTTGCCATGCAAGTAGGGGCGGATGCTTAAGCCTCCCGCACTGGGATGGACATTTATTTTCCCAAAGTAAGCTTTTTCCAGATACCTGGAAAACCACGGTACGCGTGCATAATTTTTTTCGGTACCTTTACCTGGATAATTTTGACATATTTTCAGGATCCGACCATTTTATCCTCTTTTTTGTTTTGTCCTGCATCCCCGCGACACCCTTCTTGTCCGCGGCAGGCTGCATGCGTCAGCAACGAGCGAGCCACGAGACCCTGGTGGGGGAACCCCACCAGGTGCCAAGTACCCACTCCGCAGAGGGGTCTCTACGTGGGCTAAGGTTCGGTGGCTGGCCATTCCAGGCGCGTGTTGTCCTGCCCCATCGGTATCCATTCTCCTTCATCCCACAGCCCTGAAATGAGCAATTTTGTTCCAAAGATTCTAATCAAGTAAGTGAGATGACCAAATAACCATATTTTTAGTGCTCCGAGGCGTTATTGCAGGTCAAGCCATTGCCCAAGGCCAGATCAAGTGATCTGATGCTCAAAAAGTTATTCGTTCCATTTTCGCAGAATTACGCATTTTGAGAGAGCGCCAGGTTTTTGAACGAAATTTTCGGGGTTTGGAAGTTAAAAAACATATTACGAACGTGTTTGACTGACAATAATACTGAAATTGCGCAGCTCAACAACTCAATGCAGCACGTTTAGACCAGTTCAGGCCAATCCGGCCAGTGAGTACGTTGAGTTGGGTACGTACTAGCTACGTATGGTTACGTTCGAGTACGTGCTGGTTTAGGACGTTCTCTGGGGACATCTCTGCTATGAATTGCAACACCAAAAAACGGATAAAAATTAAACAAAAAAACTGTAAATATGACAGGCGTTGAGCTCTACTCAAGACGATATTTTCCACCGTGTTCTTAGATTTATCCCGCGGCCAACCGCTGGTGAGTTAAACGGCGGGAGGATAGATAATTTATCATTCGCCGGTCGCCTCCGCATGGCGGCCGGCCCTCGATCGGGCTTGGATGAATGCACCACATATCAAGGTAGGCGAAGCTTAATCATTACGACGGTGCGACAAAGCGTAGTAGCTCCAAGTGCAAGACAACGACACGTGCATCAAAAGTTGCATGTAGCATATCATATCTTCTTGTTCCACTTGGCACAAAATTAAAGAAACAGCTAAAACTGTATTTCGTAGCAGCAAATATGTTATCGATTCACCACTGCTTGTGACCAGTACTCTTAAAACATGCTTCAGCGTAATCATTGGCTGGTTTAACTTACTAACTGTCTTCTCATGAAAGTCCGCTGGCTCACAACCAAAACAATCCACTGCAGCAAACCAATCACAACACGTATGTGGGCAAATCTCGTTACAAATGTGACAAATATTGTACTTTATGACGTCTTTCAGTCGTCCAGGTAAAAATCATGGGCCTACATAGGCAATGTAAATATCGACTTGTTTTTGGGTGAGAATGAGTCATGGTAATAATGACATTTACTCACTGGCAGTAAGTCAGTCAATGACATATTAGCGATATAATGCATGAATACCACATAGCCCATGCACAGCTGCACCGCGGGGAATCGAACCCCGTACCTCTGGTTTCCCAGACGCGCGGCGGTTAACGCAGACGCGTTAACCACTACACTGCCGGCACCTAAATCCTTGGGAGGCAGACACAAAATGTTTTGCAGTATGTACTCAACACACGCACTTCCCGCCATTCAGCATAATGCTCACATTGATGTTGTTTTACCGTATGCCGTTAAACACAAATTTACACCGCTTGTTCTAGTTTTTAACGATACGCGAAACACGACCCTGTCGCGCTCGTTACAAAACGCGTGCACGCAAGCGGCTGGAAGCACACTGAAAGATACACTGAAAGGATTGGCTGGGCATGAACTGAGTAACTGAAGGCTGCCAACTATCGTAGAGATTTGGAGTATATCACCCTGATACTTGGATTTGGTACGACTCATCCCACTCTGCCCTGTCGTTAGCAATTCAATGCTAGCAAAGGTAATCAACCCCATTCTGGTGAAAAATCGGCCCATATGAAGGCAAGCACTTGCCAAAAACACATGTTTCACTGTAAGGGCGTTGTTGGGATAGAGAGGTGGGAATGTTCCCTGCTATCCGAAGGTAGAGGGGACGCAACCCCCCGCCTCCCTTCCCCAATGGCGCCACCTGATTTCTCCGCAGATTTTGCGCACTTTCGTTTGCACCGCTGATATAGAAGTTTCAAAAAAGAAATATTGACTTCTCCTTAAAGCTCACGTGATAGTCATACTGTTTATATATGGTGACGGATGATATTCAAATTGATGCATTTAGGTATTTAGTGTAGTCCGGCAGTTCAGGCACTTCCTACATTGCATTGGCGCTGTACTCCCTGTTCTGTTCATATGTACTGAAGGGGGCGGGGGGGGGGGGGGCTCAGAAGAGCAGAGGCTCATTGAGGGGACTCAAGTCAGCACTGCTGGGGGGGGGGGGGGGAGAGGGTCAGCACCCCAGAAATTGTACAATGACACGTCTATCTGTGAACTGTTTGATCCAGTAATGTTTGTCTCAGGGGAATTTTTGCTGTTGAGTTTGGATTAGAAGAGGAGGGGCATAGCCACCTTTCGTTTTTGTTTCCAGTCAGATTTGTCGAGGCTAATCCTAAATTTTCATGAAGTTCCGGGCTTCTAATCCCATCGCCCTCCTAGTTTGCTCACGGCCGCGCCGCCGGTTGGAAGCTCCAGATCTCAACTTTGAGAAAAAATTGGCCAAAATCCGGAAGGAACACATTTTCCGCTGTTATCAGTGGGTAAGTTCATCGATCTTTTCTGCTCAGCCCTCCCAATTTGTTTTGCGAAACTGCGCGCGTCTGCTTTAAGTCTATCCAATGATGAGCTTCTACTAACGAATACCAGCTTTATCGAGTAACTAGATCCCTGGTCTGTCGAAGGCGCTCGCTTCGTACGACGAACGGAAGAAGAAATCGGAGCACATTTCCAACGTGATTACGCAGCTGAAATGGTTGGAAGCAGGTCCATTAGCCTAATCTACCACCATCTCTGTCAACCCATCAGCATCTATTTTTCTTACAATGTTTGCTTTGCAGTGCTGGAATATCACAACGTTGATGAAAACAGTAAGGTATATCATACAACTTGCTTTATGCGAGCTCTAGTTGATGGCCCGTGATTACATGCTGCTCGAATACGGCGTTTTCTCATAAATTATGCAGAAAATGCTGTTTGTCAAAAAAGTTGCCAAATCCGTTTAAAAGAGCATCTTTTGGCGGGCCTATTCTGCTAGATCCTTGCTTCACGGGCCCTCCCTAATGATCTGCGCAAATCTACGTCCCTGACAAACTGAGCAGTGTTCAAGAAATGAGGACGGGGCTTGCTGCGATTCTCAAAATCCCGGCGTTGATCAGTCTCCTGGTCCCCGAAAAGAGCGCTTAGCATCCGATCTCCACAGTATCGTGGTGTGGAAAAGAAATGGCGGCTATCTTTGTGGGGTTCATTTAAGAGACAGTCCTGGATTGCATCTTCTGCATATGTTGCCAGACATTGGCACCCACTGATGTTATAAGGGGCATACAAAGTCATTCAGTCTCAACTCAATCAAGAAAGTCATTGCAGGAGCCACTTTTTTACAATCACTGGTACGTAGTCACAGTCAACTACACCCATGATGCAATCAGTCAGCCAGCCTGTGTTCGGGTACGATCTAAAATCGAGTGATTATCAAATTATGTTTCCCTAGCTCTGATAATGCGCCCATCCTTCAAATTATGCAATGCACTTTATGCCCAAGTTATCGGCACAAATTACCAACCAAGATTGCATACTGAAGGGGTAGTTGGGTTTTCTTTTGGTATGAATGTACACAGTTACACGCTTCCACACGAAGTGTAACAGACAGCATTGTACCCATCTCTAGAGTCTCGAAGCCATAGCAAGAAAGCGTCCCCTTCGATACTGCACACTAGCGCCATCTGCATGCGTCAAATCCTGCGCAAAAGTTGCAAAGTGCGGAACGGATCGTTATTTACCTGTGCTCGCCATCTTCGGGTGGGATATTTTGATACGTTGTGGTTTGTGTGCGGCGCTTTACTTTTGAATTGATGTTGTGCCCTGGGAGTGAATAAGTGCGTGACTATGACTTCGAACAACCAAAGATTGCCGACTGCGGAGCGGATCGTTAAAAGTGAGTCAGTGCGCCAGATTGGGTTAACACACCTCCCTGCTGATGCATAGGTGCTCTCGGTGGATGTTTACCTCCTCACAGCCCTGGCTTGTTGCACAATGGCGTGAAGGCTGTGCTTATTTACTGAAGCCTGAGTGTGCTGCATACACCAGGTTATGCCATTTTGTAATTGCCAGTGGTTTGTTGTGCTTTTTATGAAAACTCAGCCTGGGACTGTGCTGATCAGCCAGACTGCAAAGCACTCCTTAACCATAAAATGTCAGGCATAGCAATGACATCATTGCAACAATCTGAGCACATGCACACTGTCAAATTTTGCACAGAGGCTGATGCATGGCTGCCACCATGCATGATAAGCACTTTGCATGATGCATGCACTTTGCATGCATCATTCAAAGTGCCTTAGAATCTGACACAGTTACAACCAATTGCACAGAGACATTGCTAGGAATTATGATGTTGTGACAGTTATTTCAGGCAACAACACTCCCAAAACATTAATGTGAGCAAAAGTAAGTTGCAACTTCAGTGCATTTTGGCCTGACCTGAGTTGGCACACATGTACTATTCTCAATAGACTGATGCTATGTTATGCAGTTATCTAACACAATATACAATTTTCTGGACATGCTTGTTAGTCCAGACTTTGCTTTCAACTTCTATATCAGTCATGACACACAGGCTGATGTATGCCTATAACCACTGCAACAGTACACCTGTTTTCTGGAATGAGTATGCCAAGGGTGCATACTCATTCTGGCAATCTGGCACTCCTACCTTAAGCACTGACCCTGTCCATGATGACCTCACAGGAGCAGTGGTCAGTTGGCAGAAATGAGGTACCATCATTGCCATACACTGAAATTCTGCTCTTTGGTTAAATCAGGCTGGCCCCAGCTATGCACTGGCTTAACATGCTTGTTCTTGGTTACCCAACAAGCTGCCAGCCCATATTGCTGACCATGCAGGACTCTTCTCCCATATGGTTATCAGCCTACACACTACCAATTAGCAAGTGACAAGGAGTGCTAGCAAAGTCTTCTAAATAAGCAGAACACCTCCCATACATATAGAATGGTGCACTGGTGCAAATAAGAAATGCAATATTGTGAACATGTACTATTTCTCAGTAAGAAATGTTATAGCCATGATGATGACAGTGGCTGAGGCTTAAGGGTGCACCAAAAGCCTAGGTGTTTTGTGTCTAGAAATTGTGGAGCAAGTGCATGAGCATGGGAAACATAGAACAGGGAGATTGGGAATTTCTGGTTGCTGGTGACAATGATGTATATGCAATGTGAATGAGAGATGAATAGAAAAAAGTCACTGCTAAGTATGATGTTCCAACTGTATGCCAAACACCTGCTATTGCAAAAATAATGCTGCTCTAACATGCCCAGCATAGTGGTGATACTGTGCCAAAAATATCAAAATATGTGCACTATAAACCTGAGTATCCAAACTTTGGTGCACCATTGCCACTGACCTCAATACATTGAAAGTGTTCCACAGAATTTTAATTTTTAAATGGTAAATTCAGGTGAAATAGGCAGAACTTACCCAAACTATGTTTTCCAAGATAAGTTGTAGGTGCAGCACAAAGTAACCTGAACTGTGTTTGGACACACATTTGCAGGATTAGTGCATCTCTTTTGCTTGGTGTTTGGCACAGTGGAAGGATTATTTTTGCAGACTAGCTCGAGACAAATCCCATATCAATTTGCTGTCACAAAGCAATGTTGGATTAATGGACTGCAGGACATGTGTGGACAGGACAGTGTGTTTGGAGATAGGAAACCCCAGCCTCCCTCCCAGCTGGTGAGGAAATTACACCCCTGTCCCTGACTCACTAGTGCAGTTTTGATATGAGTTCCAAGATTTGGTGTAGTGATGTTGCCAAGAGGGGATCATGAAATGCCACCTTGCAATTTAATTGGTGTGATGGATAAATTGGATACCTGCTACCAGAATGCTCATGTTTTCTGTGCCGTCATTTCCACTGAACACACATCTCCCATTTGAACTCAGTTATCATTTGAAAATTGTGATTTTGATCTGATATTTTATGATCGTCGGGATTTTAAGAATGATCGCACATACATCCAATATTTCTAACCACATGTGCTATGGAGTGTATGGAGTTTAAATAGCGTGTCCATGTGATTTTCATTGCCTTGTCCTTAACACGCGCTCGGGTGGGGAGGGGTCAAATTGCCCCCCCCCCCCCGAAGATTTTTCGAGAATGGTTTCCGACCGATCGCGACGCAGCCGCGCTATATTTTGCATAGCTGCAGACAATTGAATAGCGGATCGTCTGACATGATCAATTAAGATCAATTTAGATTCACCTTGTAAGGTCGCTGATCTATGGCAGGTCAAAGTCAGGCCATGGTTTCAGCAAAGTCAATTTCCAGGGAATCGTTCTCTCTGATGCAACAACGAAGTGTTAGACGAAGCTATACATCTCTGAGGTATTTTCCTAGGCAACACAACAGTTGAATGAGCAAATTACATTGACCTAAGGTCAGGTATGAAGGTATGACCAAGGTCAAAACTAATATGTTTTATTACTCTAGGGCCTCCTGGATGGGCAGTTTCTAGTGCTCATTTCGAATTTATTGATTGCAGGAATCGCATTTTTCATCTTCCATGGACTGCGTAGAGGTCAGAATAGGTCATTGACCTAAAATTACCCACGTCAGCATTTTGTTTCTAGGAACATACTGTCCAGCGTAATCTTTGTCACTTATTTAAATGCAACACTCAAAGCAGTCTTATATTATTTTGGTCACCATGACCTCCAAAATGTCAAACAAGGTCACTCATCGTAAATGAGGATGTGACCTTTGCTTAGAAACGTTTATCTAGGCTCGGGGGGCACTTTGGAGACCAACCTGGAATTTGACCTTGTTGCCCTTATTTAACCCGAAGATCACGACCTAATAAGCTGAAACTTTGCCCTAAGTGAATTCACGTGCAGGTCAACACACCCTGTAAATTTGGTGTATCCTGCTCTCTTAGTTCCCGATATCTCAGGGGGGTCAAATTGACCCCCCCCCCCCCCACCTGAGCGAAGGGTATCCAGCCGGCCACCCGGGCGCATGTTAACCGTACCCATGCTGTGGCGGAACACAGGGGTTGTTAGTTATAAGCCACTATTCTCTTTCAGTTATTCCATCAAATTTCTTCATATTTCAGCTTGCAATACCTTGACAGTTTGTGGAATGCCTTCTGACAGATACTGAAATTACAACATTTCCGCAAGGAAAGGCCTCCTGAATTATGGCGCCTTCCTTGATTTTGTTTGCATTGTCTTAAGTCTTAGCATAAAACTCGGGTCCCCAAAAGTAAACATGTTTTTTGGGGGGCAATCCCACCTCGAAATCGTTGCGTTTTGGGCCATCCTACAGAACCGACCATCGACCAACGATGTTCTTCAACAGCGCAAAATATTCATGAATCGTCATCTAGATGTCAAATTGGAAACAAGCCGGTACCGTTGTCTGGCGGGTTATGGGGACGGCCCAGAACCAATAATTTCATTTCACGTTAGTGACATCTTAAATAACAAAGCATTCCACTGTCGTCCCCCGCTCCTCCGGTACGGCTGAACCATCCCCGCTCCCCGGTACGGCTGAACCATCCCCCGCTCCCCGGTACAGCTGTACCATCCCCCGCTCCCCGTACGGCTGAACCATCCCCCGCTCCTCCGGTACGGCTGAACCATCCCCCGCTCCCCCGGTACAGCTGTACCATCCCCCGCTCCCCGGTACGGCTGAACCATCCCCCGCTCCCCCGGTACGGCTGAACCATCCCCGCTCCCCCGGTACGGTGAACCACCCCGCTCCCCCGGTACGGCTGTACCATCCCCCGCTCCCCCGGTACAGCTGTACCATCCCCCGCTCCCCGGTACGGCTGAACCATCCCCGGTCGCCCTGAGACGTCACTGACAGCCGCCGGCGCTCATGACGTCACTGGCGGCCGCTGGCCGTGCGGCCGGCCCGGCCCCCGGTGGCCACGCTGGCCCGGCCCGCACCTGGCTCCTCCCCGGCGGGGCGCGCGCCGCTCCGCAGCACCCAAGGGACCTCCAGTGCGACCTCTCTCTCTCTCTCTTTCTCTCATTTGCCCCCCCCCCCCCTCTCCTCTTTTTCCCTCTCTCGCTCTCCTTCTCTCTCACTCTCCGTCTCCCTCTCTCCCCTCTTCCTCTCCCTCTTTCTCATTCTCTTTCTCCTTGTCTTTCTCGTTCTCGCTTTCTCTTTCTCTTTCTGTTTCCCTCACTTTCTTTCTCTCTCCCTATCTTTCTTTCTCCCCGCTCTCCTGGTCTCTTTCCTCTTTTCTCACTCTTCTTCCCTCTCCCTTATTCTTTTCTTCCCTTTGTCGATGTCTTGTTATACCTCTCTCTCTCTCTCTCTCCCTCTCCCTATTTCTCCCTGTGTCTCTCCATCTCTTCCCCTTTCCTCACTCTCCCTTTCCCTCTCCCTCTCCCTTACCCCTACCCCTACCCCTACCCCTACCCCTACCCCTACCCCCACCCCTACCTCTGCCTCTATCCCTACCCCGACCCCTACCCCGACCTTGACCCATGCCCCTATCTCCAGCCATATCCATACCCCTATAGCGATATGCACCCCTACCCCATCCCCTCCAAGAGACTGGTATCACTAACGGAGATGACTGTGTGTTTGATATCCATTCTCATTGTACTTCCACTACTTTTTTTAGAGAGCCTGTCCCTTATTTAAATGGTGTGCGAATTATGTTATTCTTCATTAGCATTCCTGTAGTATTGCGCATGCAGTGCGATATGCGCGTCCGTATATTTCCCTCATCCGCGTGATTTGCAATGATGTGGAGCGGACACTCATCTATTATTAGCTACAGGTAACTGCAGCCTAAGATATACTCATACGACCTGCGGACGAGAAAAGCCAATAGCTTTTGCATCCACCCCGTTTTCCACGCGCCATATTTCGTCACGTATCCTCGCATCGCTGTTTCAT